AGTGAACTCACAGAGGAGCCTGTCCAACAAGAGCGAGAGGACACAGGCCCTGGAAGAGGAGGGGTGGGTGACATCTGGGTACACAGTTGAGTGGGGGAGGGCAATGGGAATTTACCATGAACATTCTGAGTAATGCCAGAGGCACACACGAGGCAGGGAGGAAGGGCATTTTCATGGAAGAGATGTCTTTTGAGCTAGACCTTGAAGGATACAGCTGATTTCACATGGCAAAAATCAGTGGGTGTACACAGTGTGAGCAAAACTCAGGCTAAGGTGAAACTGGATCTAATTTCCTGAGCCCACCTTCCTCAGTGGAGGGAGGGGGCAATTCCCAGGAACGTGCTGGGACCAGGGCATGAGCCACGTGGCTGTAGATTAACTATTCCACAGACCATAGGTCATTCTAGTGACCACTAATACAAAGAACAAAATTGTGGATAATGCCATCCCTGTGGAGATTTCCAGGCCTGAGTCAAAATTTTGAGTGTTTCCTTCATACTTTCAAACTGGAGATCCAGGGGTTTCTGGGTGTGCCTTTCTCTGCTCCCTAACTGGAGTAAACATTCAATCCGGATTTACCATGGGTTCACTGACTGGCTAGCCTCTCTCCTGGAAAAGGCCTTGGAAGGGAGGGAAGATCTAAGACAACCCAGTGAAAACCAGTGGTGTAGACAGCACTGCTTGTCAGATCTGAATCCAAGCAAGGTATACTTTTATTTGCACCTTATCTATGGGAGGAATTAATAGGATCTTCAATTTCCTTTATCTACATTACATTACTCCATTATTCAGATTAGCAGCAGCAAATGCAACCAGAAATCAACAGATGATTCAGACTTCTTCTGTAACCTTTCACTTTTCAGTCAGCAGAGTCCGTTTTATCAGAGTTTCTCGGTCATATTTCCCAACCAGAATTTAACTGGTTTCCAACTTTCTTAATACATTCATATGAAATGCTATCCTAATCACTCTAAGTTCATTTGTTTCAGTCATACGGCACTTCTTCATAGGAATGCACCGCTTCCCCATTGCCTCGTGAAGTGTCCTGCAAATAGTAAAGGAAGAAAAACATTGTTGGATTCCATATTTTCATTTTCCTTTGGTGTGCAACAGTCCTACTATTTCTTTGTAAGAGTTGAGACTTTTTTTCCTAAGGAAAACTCACTTCACATAATAAGCTGAACTACTTCAAAGGCGCAAGTGTTAAATAACCATAGAAAATATCCACTATTTTCCAACCGAGCCCCAAGTCAGGCTCCCTGCACAGTGGAGATCCTGCTTCTCCCTCTCCCTCTGCTGCTCCCCCTGCTTGTGCTCTCTTTCTCTGTCAAATAGATAAATGAAATCTTTTAAAAAAAGATTCTCATTCAACTATTATTAAGTGAACTGCTACAGAGCAGGTGGCTGTATAAACACCTAAAATTGGGGGCACCTAGCTGGCTCAGTTGGAAGAGCATATGATTCTTGATCTTGGGGTCATGAGTTCAAGCCCCACGTTGGGTGTAGAGGTTACTTAAATAAATAAACTTAAAAAGGGGGGGGGAGTAAAAGCAGAGAGGCAGAGAGGGAGAGAAGCAGACTCCCCACTGAGCCCAGAGCCCAATGCAGGGCTTCATCTCACGACCCTGAGATCATGACCTGAGCAGAAACCAAGAGTCACTCAACCAACTGAGCCACCCAGGTGCCCCTAAGTGTTAATTATTAAACTAGGGGGTGCAAAAATGTTTTATCAAAATAAGTTTGACTGGGGCACTTGGGTGGCTCAGTTGTTAAGCATCTGCCTTCGGCTCAGGTCATGTTCCCAGAGTCCTGGGATTGAGCCCCACATCGGGCTCCCTGCTCAGCAGGAAGCCTGCTTCTCCCTCTCCCACTCCCCCTGCTTGTGT